AGACAGACCCGTGGATACACACAGACACTGTCTTTGCATGTATATTCCTGTGTGTGTGTGTGTGTGTGTGTGTGCCTTCCCGAGGACTCGGCATGTGTGTGTCTGAACAACATGACCCCGTGTGGGAGTCAGAACCCCGTGGGCACCCCTCTGGGAAACACTGGAGCGGAAAGAGGCCAGAGGAGGCCCGTGAGAGGTGTGCTGTCCTGGCAGGAGCAGGGAGGTGTAGAGCCACTGTCCCCTTGGGCAGATAGGACGATAAAGTGGTCCCACCTTACTGACCACAGGGGTGAGGACAAGTCCCTGACCTCGTACTCTCGACCTGGGCACGCAAGTGGAAGAAAAGTAGCATCCACCACCTCAGGGACGGCAGAGGGACCAAGGTTGCCCCCAGGGGGGTGTTGGTTCATTCAGCACTTCTGAAGGAGCACCTACCACAGGCCACGCCCTCTTCCTGGCAGAGGCTTCCAACTGTGAACGAGGTGCCATGTCCTGGGGTGTGTGGGGGGTTTACCTTCTTCACAGAGGACACTAGCCAACAGCCGGCGGGGTGGTAAGTGCTAGGGTGAAAACCAAACAGGGTGTTAGGGCAGAGAGGGGCAGGCAGTGACCGGGGCTGCTGTTTCGGAGTGGCCGGTGGTGGTCAGGAAGGGCCTTTGGTAAGATGAAGTTTGATCGCAGGGGGGGAGGTGTTGGGACCAAGCACACAGTCTTCATCCTCATGATGACCCTGTTGCTCTCCATTTTACAGGTGAGGAAATGGAGGCACAGAGAGGCTGAATGTTTGTCCAAAGTCTAACAGCCAGTGAGAAGGACACTCAGGATTTGAACCCATGCCATTTAGTTTCAGAGCTAGTGGTTTCAATCATCGGTCCTCGGTTGGGGGTGCCTTTTGCCTCATGTGGGATATTTGGCAGGGTCTGGAGATGTTCTTGGTTGACACTTCTGCACTGGGGGCGCCACTAGCATGTACTAGGGAGAGGCCAGGAAAGCTTCTAGAAATTCCACAGTGCACAGAACAGCACCCACAGCCAAGCAGCGTGCCACCCACAATGCCAGTCATGCTGGTCTGAACCGCACAGAGCCCCTGGCAGAGTGCGACGCATAGTAAGTGCTTAAAAACTAGCAGTTGAAGAGGGGGAGCCGACGATGGAGAAGGTTCCACAGGGAGAGAGTCCATGGTGGAGGATTCTCCAGATCAAAGTGCAGGTAGCCCCCCCTGGGGGTGTGCTCCAGGGAGGGTGGGGGCAGGCGAGGCCAGGGTGAGCAGGAGATCGGGCTGGGCTGGGGGCAAAAGCAGGGCCGCAGC